ATATATATATATATATATATATATATATATGTATGTGTGTGTGTGTGTGACTATTCTTCTTATTCTTATTCTTATTACAAGAATAAGGAAGGCCCTGGTGGACACAGAACTCCAGAAAGCATGGGCTGTCAATGTTACACATTCTGTTTGAACATACTGAGCAAACTGTACCTCAGTCCTTCACAGCCTCATTTTGTTAGTGCAACATCTCCTGATCCCTCAGGGGAAACTTAGTGGTATTGTAACACACAAATCCATAACTAATTCTTTTTCATGGGAAATGAGCATTCAAGGCTTAATTTTTATCCAATAACCAAATTCCTGAGGTCAACTCACAGTCTTCAGGGCTTGCACTGTGCCCTCAAGCTCTCGGTTGCTTTCTTTGAAAGTGAGGACTTGCTTGAGAATGGACTGCCGAGGGTGCATGGAACGGTCATACTGATGGTACATGTTTCTCCAGAACCTGCAACACAAACCAGTTACTGGTTAAACCATTGCAGAGTCTAAATAAAGGAGGAGTCATTTATAAACAGAAGAGTTTAGTCATCTGTACTTGAAGTGGCAAGCTTGGGTAGACGGTTCCAAGACCGGGTGTGATTCTGCAAAGCTTGGGCTGTACACAGGGTTCATGTAGTTCTGCTTTTCACTCAGAAGGTGAGCCCATAATGAATATGTCCTCTCCTTCAACCTGTAATGATATACAAATGAAGTAAGGGGTTTGAGATGATGGGAAGGAAGCAAATGCATGTTAGTTTTACTCACTGAAGGACCTCTCTCTGCCGTTGACTGTTGCCCAGGAAGTTGCCAAACTGGCAGGAATGGACGTGCTCGTGGATCTGAATGAGGAACCACTCGCTGAACTCGAAAGCCTGAGGAAACTGTTCAGTCAGCTGCCATACACACTCCAGGAACTGTGTGAAGATGGGTGACACCTCTTTTTGGTCGGGGTCCAACTGATCACACCTGCGGCGAAACAGTTGTCAAGGTTATTCTAGACTCTTCAAGCATCTAGAGTCAAGAACCAAACAGTGAATGATGCTAACCTGTCTGCAAACTTGTGTCCAAAAGAGATCCAGTCTTTTTCAATAAGTACCTGAGAACAAGAGGAAGATATATTAGATGGTGGAAAAAGATAAACGACAATGTCAGCTTGAACAGACGAAAGGCTCTTACCATGAAACCTTTAATGGTGCGATAGTACGGATCCATCAACAGAGAGCCTAGAGCGCAGACCTGAGCTGTCCGATCCCATCCATCAGAGCAGTGCACTAGGACACTAGCGCCCTCAACAGTCACAGCCTGGTATTACAAAAACATATATGAGAAACAGGGTTCTTTTAGTTAACTAAAAAAACCTTTTTGTTACTTGATATATAAAGATGTATGTATAACTTGATGTACTAAAATAATAACTATGTACACACAAAAACACAAAAACAATTACTAAAATTAAAATGAAAACAGAAAATATATAAAAACTATAATAGTACCTAAATAATCCTAAAATAACACTGATGAGAAATCTGTTGAATTCATACCAGTGTTGTTACTGTTAAAAAACTAATAGTAAAATAATTGTTTAGTAACTGAAATAAAGATGTAATCACACAATATATAAATATTAGATGCAAAACCTAACCTTAAAAACTAGGAATTAAAAACAAAATTAGGAATGATGTTTTGGACACAAACTGAAATAAGTTTAGGTAAATAAGTACCTAAGATAAATAGAAATATATATATAAAAAACTAATAAAAATGATAAAAGGACATAACAAAATTACTAAAACATAAACCAAAAATAAAATGAAAACTAAAATTATAAAAAATAAATGCTAATTCAAAATATTAATAAATACTACAAAAATATAGAAATAATACTAAAATAATACTGGATACTGAAGAATCAGGGGCATAATACTGCATGCAGGAAGATTGGAGTTTTACCTTGGCAAGGAATATAGCTGCATCCATGATGGCTTTGATATGACGCAACCATCCACTGTTTTCCAGTCCAACCAGGTAATCAGTCATGGAAAGTGAGCGCGTTCCCACCACTGTGAGAGACACAAATAACAAAGATGTTGACAATTAACAAATTGAAATGAGAATGAACCAAATTCTCATAGGTCAGCAATCTCAGACCTTCCAGAAGCTTCTGCAAACTTCCTCTCATCACATGAATGTTCTCGATGCCCACAAACTGGAAGCGAATATTAGAGTAGTTGTCCTCATTCTCATAGCCTTTCCCTGCCGCACGATTCGCCAGTGCATTCAACTACAAAAACACAAAAAGTGCTTAAGGAACCTGTTATGATCACCCAACTGGCTTGAAGAACACACACAAAAAAAAAAAACTTCATGACTTTCTACCTTAGGCCGCGTGTCCATCACATATATATATCGGCTGTTGTGATTGGCCTTGCTGATGGCCTGAAGCATGTGTTCGTCTTCTAAACAGCGAGCGCTGAAGCCAGAGAGAGGCTGACTGCATCGACACACCGCTGCCTGGAGACATGACACAAACAAATATAAACACTTACCACCCTGAAGTACATTATAAAAGCAGAGTAAATGAGGAAGGACAGACTTAACAAGACCAATGCAGATGTTGGGAGGAAGCCGCTGGCATACAGCCATGATTTGCCAGTAAATCTACTGTTTAACTTAATCGGTCTCTGTGTGTTGACAAGCCATTACCTGTTTACCATCCCGCTCCGTTTATCTAACAGCGCACAGAAGAAACAACTAACTCCCATTACTGTGTCAACAGACATCTGCACATAAATTAGTTTTAATGAACTCTAAAGATTAACAAAGGGCCTAAATCCTAAATCGCTGGCTTTCTTTTCTTATTAGTATAGATGGATTAAACCATTCTTACCTTCTTCTCCTGGTAGAAGTATGTTAGAACAGGAAAGCGGCCTTTGCTTCTGAACTTGGAGCTTCCGACTATGATTGGTTTACTGGCCGTAATGGGTACATATAAGTCTCTTGGATATGTCTCACACACCTAAGCACACAATTTAGAGTCAGACACATTAACAAAACACTAAAGAAAACAATTACTGCCATTAAACTAAATAAAACAATAATGCGGTACCTGTAAAAATCATGGAAACACACCACTGAATTTATGTTTCTCTTTTATATGTATTTAGTTAAAGTATTTTATATTAAACTTTTCAGTTAGTTTCTTGTTATTTTAAATGACATTTTTAAATTTCACAGAGTTTTTCTTTATTTTTAATAAATTTAATTTGAGTTTTTTTTTTAAGATTGTCATCTAATATTTATATTTTATTTTAAAATAAAATAATATAATACAATTAAAAAAAATAATATTTTAATCAAAAATATTTTAAAGAAACAAGAGCCCCGCGTATATAAGAACAGTATTCTTTTAGTATTTTTTAAATATAATATTAATATAGTGTTTATTCATATTTATTTTACAAACACGATTCCAAAAAAGTTGGGACACTGTACAAATTGTGAATAAAAACAGAATGCAATGATGTGGAAGTTTCAAATTTCAATATTTTATTCAGAATACAACATAGATGACATATCAAATGTTTAAACTGAGGCAAATTGACCTAATAAGTAGCAAATTGGTCCTCCAGCTGTTCCTTATATGTACATTTAACTTTTCCGGCCTCTTATTGCTACCTGTCCCAACTTTTTTGGAATGTGTAGCTCTCATGAAATCCAAAATGAGCCAATATTTGGCATGACATTTCAAAATGTCTCACTTTCAACATTTGATATGTTATCTATATTCTATTTTGAATAAAATATAAGTTTATGAGATTTGTAAATTATTCCATTCCTTTTTTATTCACAATTTGTACAGTGTCCCAACTTTTTTGGAATTGGGTTTGTATTAAGATTTTGAAGAATGTAAAATATTACATTTAAAATATTACTTTTTATTTGTATAACAGTTTTGGTCGCTGTGTAATTCTGTATGATTCTATATTAGAATAAATATTGTAATTATGTGCAACGCTTATGTGTAATGCCTAAAATAAAGCATCCCATATTTAATTAATCTCAGTATCTAAAATGTCTTCAATCCATCAAAAAGATCTGTAAAGTGCAGGTTTTCTGCAGGTTACAAAAAGGTGATGACTCAAGTCTTTTTGTATTATGAATGAACGACTGAATCATTCACTCAAACAAACCGAGTCATTTACAACCAAAGTATATCAGATCCATTCACAAATAAAACACCACTAGCACATATAGTACCTACCTGGCCTGGCTTTTGCTAATCTGACTAAAACCAAGTTTTATTCCAACCACATTATTCTAATACTAGTCTTGAGGGACATTATACTCTATTTTAGGTTGCCTGTCAGCCTCATAAGACCTGATTTTAGGTCACATACATCCTGAATTAGAATCAACTTGGCTGGATCAAAGAAAGAGAAGGTGATGTTGAACATATTTGACAAATTCTCCCTCCCATCATACCTTGTACTCCCTGTTAACATCTGTCAATTGCCACTGATCACATGGCACTCCCATCCGTTCAAACTCAGCTGCGAGGTCTATGAGTTGCCAGCCCTCCTCTCTCTGTTGGTCATTCTGCTTTGGGTTGTAGGAGAATGCGTACAGCTCGTCGTAGGACACTGGTGTACAGAATACATTAGTTAATAAACTTTACAAAAGGTGAAAATGAAAGTCAAAGTATTCAGGCGACCATCTGGAGTTGGTACTGATGCTCACACATCCCTGACCTCCGGCCAACAACGCATGGCCACAATATCCGTTGTTCAATCACAGAACAGACCTAAGGATACTGTGACTTTCAGGAAACTTTTGCAGTCTATTTATTCTTGACGAGGGCAGACATGTGAGTTTACCCACCTGGTCTCAGCAGCCTGAGCAGAGAGCTGTAGATGTCATGGCAGTCCCGCTCTCGCGGAATCACAAAGTGGACAAGCCGGAAATTTCGGCACTGAATGAGAAGCGGGCAGCCACTGGTTGTGAGGGACAGCTTCTCCATGGAGGCAATGTGGTGATGAAGGATCTGAACACACAAACACATAAATACAAAACTCATTTACAGAATTCAACTGATATTCTTTTCAACCTAAAAGTACTTACAAGTACGTAAAGGCTGGACGTCATCAGTTCTCTCTGTCAGAACAAGTGATCATGTCTGTGTTTGGAGTGTCTGATGCCCATTTGTACATAAACACCACTGATCCTCACAAACTACTCCAAAACACGCTTCTTCGGCAAGCATCCGTTATAAAACACTGGCTGTATATCCTCCCCCGGAGGATCAATGAGCCTCCAATTAAATTATTAAAGTGTAAAACAAATGTTTTTGAAGATTAACTTCAAGTGAGAGTTAGATGATGGAAAAGGCCATTTAAATATAAAAATAGGGAAATAGGCATGCGTAACTAAATATTAATATTATATTTCCTTCCTTCCTCGTCTTGTGTTCCTCTATCTTTAAGAGGAATATAATGTGCAAGAACATGACAAGGAGAATCTAATACACACATATACAATTACCATATTCAAATGAACTACACAGCACTTTTGGAAGGTCAAAATATGGGGCATTATTAAAATGCGCATGTATCTGCATTTCCATTTGCATCGTGACTCAGTGTGCTGTTGTCATTGATCACTTAAGTGTGTACGTAATGCATAATGCATAGGGAACAGAAGGCAGTACTGCAGGCAGACAGAGAGCCGTTTTTGTGCAAGCCAGTCCTAAAAGAGTGAAGAAGCTACACGTGAGAGTGCAGAATTTATTTCAGTTGGGTTCCAGACTCATGTGAACATGTTACTCCAACCAGCCAGCTAGTTTTTAGAAAGTGCTGGCACAAAGTCGCAAACATGTGCTCTTGAGGCCAGATCTCTTATAAACTAAAATAAGATCAAGGATGCCCTTGTAAAAACAGGCTAAAACTGCTAGTATAAACAGAATTCATTATATATTATATTTATTATAAACCTAATTATAAATTGTGTAAATAATCAAATTTTTACTTTGTACAGTACTGTGATTTTTTTTTACTGTCACATGATCCTTCAGAAATCATTCTAATATGCTGATTTGCTGCTCAAGAAACATTTCTTATCATTACCAATGTTGAAAACCTGTGAGAGCAGTTGTGCTGCTTAATATTTTTGTGGAAACGGTAACACTTTATTTTTTCAGGATTCTTTGCTGAACAGAAATTTCAAAAGAACAGCATTTATTTGAAATAGAAATATTTTGTAACATTATAAATGTCTTAACTGTCACTTTTGATCAATTTAATGAGCAAGTGTCCTTGCTGAATAAAACTATTAATTTCTTAAAAAAAAAAATAAATAAAAAGAAACTTACTGAACTTTATCGCCCACCAAACAAAAATAAGAACTTTGATCAATTAGAGAATTAATAGCATAATACCATTAAAACCTCTCAAGAGTATTATAATGATAAACTTTGTTGGTCAGTGTCAGTCAGCATCTTAACCTCCGATCTGCTTCCTGTGTGGAGAAGATGGTGAGATAAAGTTAATCATCTGCCATACGCTCACACACAGAGACGGAGCGATCAGTGGACTCTAAACACGGCAAATCACGTCTTGAGCTATGTGGGTCATTGGTATTCATGTCCTCTCCTGGCCTCCCCTACACTCTCGTATTCACTTGGCCTCGGGGGCAAGCTCAGCCGACAGGTTTCCACAGCAACAACACCTACTGCCAACGTGAGGAACAAGTAACCTCATTCCCATGATCTAATTCTCTATAATCCTGTAAACAAAAAGGGTGGTACTCTATATCCAAGCTACCCTGTCGGTCACACAGGAATTCTTTATCACATCATTTAGAGACCGTTAAGAGGGGCTTTTCATACCCATATCTCCTGGGCACTGGTTGAATTACTCTCCACAAAAATCAGATGTGTGGCCGTCAGATGGAGGGTTCCTATGACGGACTTGTTGCTAAAGCGATCTAGCAGCTTCACTTGTTCTACCTGCGGAGGAAAGCACATGTTACAATTTTTAAATGTATCTAAATATATCTTCCACCTTGTAAATATGAACCTAACCATGAGCAATTAGGGCATAATTCAAAATAAATTGACTTTCACTGCCAGGACCGAGCAAAATCTACTCATGTTTTTCACATTTTCTGCATACATTTTAAAGGGGTCATATGATGCTGCTAAAAAGAACATTATTTTGTGTTAGCAACTTGACTGCAGCTAAGCAACACATTTCCTGTGACTGCAATAAATCAGCAGACATCAGAAAACAAACAGCGAGTATGATTTTTAAAAGGAAATTGACAAAAGCAAGTGGTATAACCTATGTACATGAGTTTATACACTAGTACAGGTATTAAAAAAAGCAAAAGGTATATATACCTTTAACATTATATATATACTGTATATATAAAGTATATATATATTCTATTTTAATTCTACTTTATATCTTTTTTTATTTAAAAAAAAATCCCACTAGCTTTCTATTCTATTCTTTTTTCTATTCTATCTACTTGTTTTTCTTTGTGCGTATATGTGTGTATAATATATATATATATATATATATATATATATTAGGGCTGTGCAATATTGAAGAAAAATGCGACATGTGATAACTCATTAAATAATGTGATATTCGATATGATAATGCTTAAAGTGCCACATGCTCAGATGAAACTTTTTTCAGTGAAGTCAGTTTCAGAGTCAGTTCTGTGAACTTCTATAACTATCTTGTGTCATACATATATGGTCATTTGTATGTACTGTATGTATGTACCAAGAGTTCCTGTAAAACCACAACAAATTCCTTGTGTTTGCGCACACTTAAGTGGTGAATAAAGCTCATTCTGATTCTAATAAGAAAGCACCCCACAACAACTTCTGAAAGTGAACGGTAGTGTTTTACTCAAGCATTACATAAAAATGTCATTTTAACATTAGTGTAATCATTTTAACATGAGTTTAGGAACCGAGTAATAAAAAGGAAAAATAAAACACTGCGTACAATTTACTCTTTGAATTCAATATGCACTGATTCTTACAAAAGTTATTTAGGTAAGAGCAGTGAATATATATAATATTTTAATTTATTTATGTGTTATTTATATTGTATTTTTTATCAATAATATAGTAATGTTATTTAATATATATTTTAAGGCCTGCTTGAGTGCCTTTATGGGCTTTGGACCCCTGGCTGAAAACCCTGGCATGAAGATGATGAAAATAGAAAAAGCTATTTATAAAAAAAAAAAAGCTATCAATAACCCTTGTAATAATGAATTGCTTCATGATGTCACAACAAATAAAACTATGTACAGCATACATTCAGAAGTAAAGGCAGTTTTGAGCGCCTTATTCATTACATCACTGTTAAGTCTTCAGACAACATAAAAATGCAGAATCAGCCTCCAAGGCCCAAAGCTTTCAGGACAGACCAGTTCTGCACAGATTTTGAAATCAGTCAAAATGGCCACAAAGGCAGAATCAGATCACCGGGACTAGATTCAAGTACATTCGGCTCATATATACAAGGCCAGAAGATATAGATGAACATAAACAACGCTGAGAGCTGCGCGCCCAATCTATATGATGACACCACATCGTGTGTTAGATACATTTATAGATGCATAAATTCAATTGCATTTAACAAGTGTTTGTGACTTTGTGACATAGCAGGGCAGATCTCGCAGAATTCTACTATTTAGTAAAGTGTACCTTTGGTGTGCGGATGTGCTCCATGATGTCGCTGTTTTAGCGTGGTCAGCACAAGGAACGGATGACAATATCCTAAACAGATGCCTTCACACATCGGATGAATAAGTGAAGAATAAATCCGCCTCCGTTTGAAGCCAAGTTCAAAACATCTCTTCTACTAACAGCTAACAGTTTCTGCTGCTCTACTCAGCACTTCCTACTTGGGGCGTGTCTGTGAGAAAAACAGGCAGGTGCATTCTGGGAAATGTAGTTTTCTGACGCGTCTTGATACTTTTAGTTTTTCATTTGATTTTCAGTGTAACCTAGTGTTGGTAAAAAAGCGTTTGACATAAATAATGTATATAAACCATATATTATGTATATTGTGAGTTAGACTTTCATTAGAACAGGGGGTTTCAATCTTTTATATGCCACAGACTCTCAAATATAATCACCCTTGTGCTGGACCCTCATCCTTAAATTTATAATGCAGCTATATATGCATAAAGACACAATTTATACTGTGATACTGTGTAATATTTATACTCTGATACTGAGTAACCTAATAATTTACATTGTAAATGATTATAGTACATTATAAATGATTGTATTATATTTTTTTTCTACTCACTATTACTGCACGGTATGATTATTAGATTGATTGATCTTTCAATTCCGTATTTGTGTTTTGCATGTTTCATTAATTGCGTATGGTAATTCTTTCACTTGGTTTATTAAAAGGAATAGAAATTAAAATTTGCTGAAAATATACTCACAAATTTCTTTCTTCTGTTGAAGATAAAAGAAGATTTTGGAGAATGTGGGGAACCAAACAGTTACTGGTGCCCACATACTATGGAAGTCAATGGGGACCAAAAACGAGTTTGGTTACACACATTCTTCAAAACATCTTCTTTTGTATTCGTGAGAAGAAATTCATACAGGTTTCTAAAAACTTGAGGTAAATGATGAAGTTAAAAAAAATGACAGAATGTTTATTTTGGGTGAACTATGTCTTTAACAGATTCGTTCAAAAACAGATTCCTTCACGGATGCAACACCTCTAAAATATCACGAAGGCAAAAGAGTATTTTGATAGTTGCTGAAATATTATTAACTAAATAGTGCAAATATGTCTGTAAGTGTGGACAGAATATTAATAGAAAGTCCATCAACAGAAACAAGACAAACACCAGAGTAGGTGAATAATGGATTATTTAGTTCAATAAATCACACTGCCTGCATGGACCTTCCAAGCCAATGCAACGCTCTTGGATGCAAGCCGCCGTTAAACCTCAAAGAAGAAGAAGAAGAAGAAGAAGACCTCCAAGCCAGTAGGTGGCAATACGTCGAAACAGATGATGTTTGAATTTTACCGCAAAAACAAGGAGACAGAAGAAGAAGAAGAAGAAGAAGAAGAAGAAGAAGAAGAAGAGATTGTGCGCGTAAACACGGAGCAGCAACGTTTTCAATACTTAGAAACCCACAGGAGTTTTAAAAATAAACTAAACCTCGATTGCCTAGTTTAGAATCTTTTATTCATATCTTCTTTACACGCATCAGAATTTCGTGGTGGTTGCTTTTATTATCCAACGTATGCCGTAAGAAGTGGCTTCAGGGCCTCCACGAGGTCAGTCCCGCTAGTTTCTGATTGTCCATTTTGGGACATTTAAGTCCAGAATGTCCAGCTTTAACTTCGGCACAAGTACCCTCGGCTCCACCGGCACCGGCGGGGGGTTCTCACTTGGAGCCGCGACCAGGTCAGCTTTCAACAGTGTGCTCGTTTTTTATCGAGATGTGCAGGACTATGGTGTAAAACATAAACACGTCTAAAATGACAGCTTAAAATGCTAACTTTAATTGGATGGTCAATAACAATTTGCTGTTTACAATTCAAGCTCACATTTTAGTTTCACATTCATTTTCAATGGCCTACCATAAAAAAAAGTATTTACTAAATGGTTGTCTAAATGTATGTTATTATTTTTTTTAAATAAATATATTTTTATGTAATTACAAAAAAATAAAACAAAAATTTGTGTGAGTGAATAATTTTTTTTAAATGCAGATACATTTTAATGACATTAAAATGTTAATAAAAAAATAGATATGATTTTTAATATCTGATATCTTTTTCCAGTGCTCCTGCTGCAGGTATGGGTGGATTCGGATTCGGAGGGTTTGGCACGCCGACATCCACACCGGCCACCACCAGTACCAC